TTTTAAGTTTTAATTATTATTTAAACATATTAAAAAGTTTTACGCTCATTATTAATAGAGATTGAAACTAAATATTTTTTTGTTTCGAAGTTGAAATCAAGGCATATTCACTGCCAAAAGTCAGTTAAAAATTTTCCATATTATTCGTTATTTCTTATTTTATTCAAAGTTTCTGGTTAAATTCTCTCAAACCGTATTCTTTCTTCTTATTATAGAAAGTATTTATTTACCTCATGATATGCTGCAAAATCTAATTAAATACGAATTTCTAATTTTATGTACTCTTGTCTCTGATTGTACCTCCCAAACATCCTTAAGTGGGACAACAAAATCTCTAAAATAATGTATGTTTGCTTATACTGAAATACAATGTATAGACAGGATCTAACGTTGTAAAGCGTACCTACGCATTGTATAAAATATATTTTGTTGTAAATATTTTTTTGAGTTTACGCTGTTAAATCTGCATTTATTTTCATTTAAATATCCCAAAAAATTAAAGAACCATTTTTAACTAATATTTTATGGTGATTAACACAGTAAAAATGAATATATAACGATCATTCTGTATGAATTTATTTGTGTAAATATTTTTCTAAATTCAGGCCTGCTGATGTTTGCTTGTCGTTTATTCTTCATTGTGAAAGTATTTATTTCGTGTACTGGTATGTTTGTCTTCGTGCTGTTATCTCTTGCGGTTTTTTGCTTGGCGTGTTGACTCACAATATCGTTTAAATGTCAATACAAATATTTATTAGGACAAAAATAAAACGAAAATATGGAAGCATGTAGATTTTAACAATTGAACGTTTTCATTTAAAAATGCAATGATCAGTACAATTAATCAATTGATTATGTACTTTTGCTGATTAATTAATTTTACTACCATTAAGTAATTACGTACATAAAAGGGTAATTATTGTGATTGTTTTTCATTTTGGAATACATAATCCTTATAAGATCACTTACGCGTCTGTCAGTCCGTCACAGCTGATTTTCTCAGAATCAAAAATTTTATTTTATTTTACATATTCAGTTGAATAAGCCTATGGGAAATATAAAAACATTTTTGGGAGTTTCATTATAAATACTTTTTAAAACAATTTTCAAAAGCACCCAAAGGATGAATAATTGAAAGTATAGAAAAGGTCCTCCCAACTTTTACATTTCAAATAAATTGACTAAAAGAACTCAAACTACTTAATGTCATTTGCTTTTGAATATTTCACGGAAAGGTATTTTAAAAATTAATTTTAGAGAAATTGAAATTATGCATATATGTTGAAATGTACGTTATCTTGTTCGTAACAGTCTATCCTAAACACGGAATCTTAATGTTGTTATGCCGAAGAAGTTGATAAAGAACTGTTCACTTAATTATTTATTTAATTGTTTCCAGAAACCTAATACAACGTGTTTAATAACATACTCTTTCGAATTTTGAAATGAAAGCTGTATTATATACATAAAATAATGCATAATGGTACAGATTTTCTTTGGGGTTAAAATAGTGTGCTAAGGTATCGACATTTAGAAAAAATCATATTTTCGTATCTGTGATGTACAAACTATTTCGAGGAACTTCGAAAATATGTCTATCAAAGTGTGTTTGTTTTTGAATACACTTGGAGAAATTACACTTATCGGTATATATTATATTATTCTCATTAAAAAAAGTATTAAAATGATGTTACAAGAATTTTCGGACAGTTATTTTTCCTAATGATTTAATAAGAAAATGTTAAATGAGAACGTTGTTTAGAATCACTTTTTCGGTAAGGGTAACGGGGTCTGATTTTTCAATGTGATAAATTTTCTTCTATAAATTAGGATTTATCGTGAAAAAGCTTTCTTTCATGTCTACTTTTAAGATAGAAATCTGGCTACTATTTCATTGAAATTTTGGGAATAGCAGCCTTTTTTATAGTTATTAATCCTTCTAAAATTTTATTTCTACTAAAGAAATAGGTGACCATCAATTTATTTGTAAATAAAAAAAATTATAAATTTCATAATGCAACCAAATGTCAATTTTATTGATCCGTTATGATCTGTGCTCACAGGGAAAATTGTAGGAAGTGTACTTCTATCATATCTAATTATTATATATTTTCATTATTCAACGTTGTTTTTGACTAGGCACTTTTGAAAACTCGATTTTTAGGTAAAATTTTTTATTGGATCAAAATACATTAATACATTTTTATAGTCTTTTCATAAAATTGTTAAAGATTAAAAAACCTTTAATTAAAAATATTCTATTATATTTCGCCCCTATTTGTTTCAAAATAACATCCCCTCTTTTATAGAAACAGAGTTTTATGTTATAAATATAGGTGTGCACCAATTAGATATTATGATTATTAATAAACTTTGGAAAAATACTATTCATACTATTCTATAACTTCTTCAACTGATTTGTTATCTGTATCCTTGCAACAGTAATATGTAAAATCTTAATTATCGGTTATCTAATTTTATTTTTTAACGAAATAGCATTTTCAATAAAAGTACATTATTAGTTAAGTCGCTTAGAATGATTAAGACAGGCGTACTGAGAACAAAAGGGGCGTGACCATCTGCTAAATGACCAGCATGAAAAAATCTGCGCAAATGCTCACAGTTACAAGTAATCAAGCTCAAGCTTTTGGCAGCTTTTGCTAGTGTTCTTATTTCCCTTTCGCGTTTATGATATTAATCGGTGTCAACAAAGTGCACCTTCCTGCTATAAAAAGAACCGAACATTTTATTAAATGCAGTCATCAATTCCGGCAAGTTTTAGAACTGCACAGTGCTGATAATTATAATTGATGAAGTGATACAGAACGTAACTACGAGGGTGGATTGATAAGTTTCCGGCCTGACCAAGAAAAACAAGGTTTTTAAAAATTTTTTTTTTTTATTTCTCAACATAATCTCCTCC